ATAGTGGGTGGTGATAGTGAGTGGTGATAGTGATGTGGTGGTGATAGTGAGTGGTGATGAAAGTGGGTGGTGGTGGTGATAGTGAGTGGTGATGATAGTGAGTGGTGATGATAGTGAGTGGTGGTGGTGATAGTGAGTGGTGGTGATAGTGGTGATGATAGTGAGTGGTGATGATAGTGAGTGGTGGTGATGATAGTGAGTGATGATAGTGAGTGGTGGTGATAGTGAGTGGTGATGATAGAGAGTGGTGATAGTGAGTGGTGATGATAGTGAGTGGTGGTGATGATAGTGAGTGGTGATGATAGTGAGTGATGGTGATAGTGAGTGGTGATGATAGTGAGTGATGATAGTGAGTGGTGATGATAGTGAGTGGTGATGATAGTGAGTGGTGATGATAGTGAGTGGTGGTGATGATAGTGAGTGGTGGTGATGATAGTGAGTGGTGGTGATGATAGTGAGTGGTGATGATAATGAGTGGTGATGATAGTGAGTTGTGATGATAGTGAGTGGTGATGATAGTGAGTGGTGGTGAAGATAGTAAGTGGTGATGATAGTGAGTGGTGATGATAGTGAGTGGGGATGATAGTGAGTGGTGATGATAGTGAGTGGTGATGATAGTGAGTGGTGATGATAGTGAGTGGTGTTGATAGTGAGTGGTGATGTAGTGATAGTGAGTGGTGTGATAGTGAGTGGGTGATAGTGAGTGGTGATGATAGTGAGTGGTGATGATAGTGAGTGGTGATAGTGAGTGGTGATAGTGAGTGGTGATGATTAGTGTAGTGGTGATAGTGAGTGGTGATGATAGTGAGTGGTGATGATAGTGAGTGGTGATAGTGTTAGGAGTGGTGATAGTGAGTGGTGATGATAGTGAGTGGTGATGATAGTGAGTGGTGATAGTGGTGTAGTGGTGATAGTGAGTGGTGATGATAGTGAGTGGTGATGATAGTGAGTGGTGATAGTGAGTGGTGATAGTGAGTGGTGATAGTGAGTGGTGATGATAGTGAGTGGTGATAGTGAGTGGTGATGATAGTGAGTGGTGATGATAGTGAGTGGTGATAGTGAGTGGTGATAGTGAGGGTGGTGATAGTGAGTGGTGATGATAGTGAGTGTGTGATAGTGAGTGGTGATTGATAGTGAGTGGTGATGATAGTGAGTGGTGATAGTGAGTGGTGATGATAGTGAGTGGTGATGATAGTGAGTGGTGATAGTGAGTGGTGATAGTGAGTGGTGATGATAGTGAGTGGTGATGATAGTGAGTGGTGATAGTGAGTGGTGTGATAGTGAGTGGTGATGATAGTGAGTGGTGATAGTGAGTGGTGATGATAGTGAGTGGTGATGATAGTGAGTGGTGATAGTGAGTGGTGATAGTGAGTGGTGATGTAGTGAGTGGTGATGATAGTGAGTGGTTGATAGTGAGTGGTGATTAGTGAGTGGTGATGATAGTGAGTGGTGATGATAGTGAGTGGTGATAGTGAGTGGTGATAGTGAGTGGTGATAGTGAGTGGTGATGATAGTGAGTGGTGATGGATAGTGAGTGGTGATAGTGAGTGGTGATAGTGAGTGGTGATAGTGAGTGGTGATGAGTGAGTGGTGATGTAGTGAGATGGTGATAGTGAGTGGTGATGATAGTGAGTGGTGATGATAGTGAGTGGTGATAGTGAGTGGTGATAGTGAGTGGTGATGATAGTGAGTGGTGATGATAGTGAGTGGTGATAGTGAGTGGTGATAGTGAGTGGTGATGATAGTGAGTGGTGATGATAGTGAGTGGTGATGATAGTGGTGGTGATAGTGAATGGTTGATGTGAGTGGTTGATGATAGTGAGTGGTGATAGTGAGTGGTGATTGATAGTGAGTGGTGATGATGTGAGTGGTGATAGTGAGTGGTTGAATAGTGAGTGGTGATGATAGTGAGTGGTTGATGATAGTGAGTGGTTGATAGTGAGTGGTGATAGTGAGTGGTGATGATAGTGAGTGGTGATGATAGTGAGTGGTGATAGTGATTGGTGTTAGCTTTCGCATCATTTGCCACTTTAATTTCATACTCCCGTTTAGCTTTTCTGATACAATTTTTAATATCTCTCTCATTGTGTTTATTGACCCAGGAGATAGCTCTCACCTCTTCTGATACGTCTGTATCTCATATATATATATATATATATATATATATATATTATATATGATATATATATATATATATATTATATATATATATATATACTATATATAATATTTAACGGTGAGTGAGAACCAGGAGGTGGTTGGTTTGAAGGTACAGGGACGGGGGGGGGAGGTCACCTTGTTATACCTCAAGTCTTAATGAAACTCAAATAGGTTAATCTTGCTCGTCAGGAGACGTGCCCCAGCAACACGTCATAATCTTGCTCGTCAGGAGACGTGCCCCAGCAACACGTCATAATCTTGCTCGTCAGGAGACGTGCCCCAGCAACACGTCATAATCTTGCTCGTCAGGAGACGTGCCCCAGCAACACGTCATAATCTTGCTCGTCAGGAGACGTGCCCCAGCAACACGTCATAATCTTGCTCGTCAGGAGACGTGCCCCAGCAACACGTCATAATGTTGCTCGTCAGGAGACGTGCCCCAGCAACACGTCATAATGTTGCTCGTCAGGAGACGTGCCCCAGCAACACGTCATAAAAATGTTTGACTTGAATTAAGATTAAATTAAAAAAAAAAATATTTTAGGTTTTAGAAAAAATTAAACAGCTAAAGGGAATTTGCATAAAATATTATATGATTTAGATTTAAGGCAATGTGAAGGTCGGTTTAATTTCTCTTCTTGATAACTCGATATATTAGTGCTTACAACACCCACTAGAAGTCAAAACTTTTCTCTAACACACACAAGCAGTGAAAGTTTGAAGACGATATAATGAGGCATTCTCAAGCCCTGACACTGCACATATAAAAAATGATAGAAAACTGGCATCATCTACACTGCCCAACTATAGTGCCAACCTTCCAAATAAGGTGACTCAATGACTATGACCGCGGGTTCAATCCCGGCCGGGGGTATGTTTTTTTTTCCAAATAAGGTACATAAACACTGAAGGTTTGAAGCCGAACAGTCGCGCAGTTTTTTTTTTTTTTTTTTTATTCGCCGGTATTCTCCCGGCCCGGGTCTTTTCCAAGTAGTGGTGACCCGGCCTTGGCTCCCTATCTGGGGAGTGTCTCGAGACTTAAGTCTCCCATGGGAGGAGGTACAAGTACCTCCTCATCTTTGGGACCAAGTGTCCCCAGGCCTAGCCACATTCCCCGCCCTCACGGGGCTCGTAGGGAGAAGCTAGGCCTCTGGTCTGTCGAGCAGTTGTCAAGTTCTCTCAGGTATCCCTTTTCGGGGAATACCCGATTACATTAGTTTAACGATATTCATGACCGTGTATCTCTATGTTTTCGTAACTCCGTCGTATAAAATATTATTTTCAAGTTAGACCGATAACTCTCTGTTATTTGATAAATGTCACATTATTAATGGTATAAATGCTATCATATTCTTGAAAATCAAATGTGATGTTTTAAAGGAATACAAAGATAACTGGAGTGAGGGATGGAGGAACACAAGTGCGATACATGGAACATCTTTACTGGATACGACTGAGTCCTGGAACCTTGAATCCTGGAACCTTGGTCACTGTGAAGGATACAAGGGAATTAGGAACCGCAGTATATACAATGAATTAGGAACCACGGTATATACAGTGAATGAGGAACCATGGTATAAGCAGTGAATGAGGAACCATGGTATATACAGTGAATTAGGAACCATGGTTACAGTGGAGAATGAACCATGGTATATACAGTGGAGAATGAACCATGGTATATACAGTGGAGAATGAACCATGGTATATACAGTGGAAAATGCAAGTCACTCATGATGTTAAAAAGAAGCGTGAGGTCAGGTAGCAAGTGTGAAGCAACAGGACTCACGAAATCGTAATGACACGATTGCAAACAAACCATACCACGGGCGGGATTGAACCCGCGGTCAGAGAGTCTCAAAACTCCAGACCGTCCAGTGGCTAACGCGACGGTCTGGAGTTTTGAGACTCTCTGGCCGCGGGTTCAATCCCGCCCGTGGTATGGTTTGGTGAAGCAACAGGTTTTCTGTAATTTCTTTCTGCATTGTTTCAGTGACTGAAGTGGCCGTCTTTAGACCAACAACGTTCGTGTCATACCACAGATTTAAAGAGTGTCATCTTATGCATTGGTACAGCGCAGAAGTAATTAATGAGGGCGACAGGAATATATATCAGCGCCTAGACGCCGCCTTGCTTCTTTTAACATGTTGGTCACGGCTTGATAAAGTTCCTGGAGAGCGAAACGTTGCCGCAATAAAATGTCACATTAGTTGCACTTATGTCCTTTTATTTAACATACCTTAAACACATCATACAGATATGTTGTGTCAGGACTGACACGTCACACGGCAATTAGGTGACCTAATACCTTCACCTGTCCATCACCTATTACTTCCACTCTCCATTTTATATAATGTGCTTTGTCATCTTACATTATTTGGAGTGAGCAAAGTCCCAGGACCAAAACTGAACTAAAAAAGATGTTCACAGTACTTGAACTTGTGTCCTTCCATCCTCATTGTTTATCAATATATCGCCTCCGTTCATAAATGGACAGATATTTCAGGTTAAAATTTTGGGTTAATTGATCACTAAATGCAGTTTGTCGGACGGGATATTCAGAGATGGAAAGCTCGGTGCTTACTCTTCAGAAAATTTGGTATGGATGATTAGATTACAAGGTGATTGTTATTCTGAAAAGACAACCAGGGCGAGAATGACAGTAAATATTTTTTTTTTCCTCACACGTTCACCCGGCCTTGGTGGGAAACAAACGAGGTACTGAGAACTGCAGCGATCAGTCACAACCTTGAGGTTGTAGTTCCGCTGGAGGGACGCACGTGAGAATTTCAGAGATTTGCGGTTCATCGAGGAAAAGCTAACTGGCTCAGAGGAGGCTGAATTATTCAAGAAGGGGTTCAGCGTGTAAATATTTCGACCAGTAACTTGTAAAACAAATAAATAATACTACTAGCGACAGATGTCACAACTCTCATGAAGTTTAACGAGCTTCGGCTGAGTCAGTGTCTCAGAGATTGCGTGATTCAGCGAGCGCTCAAAAGCGTAAATGACACATGATTAGAGACTTGATTTTTTTCAACATCGTTCAGCAGGAAGACAGATCAACGAGCGAAGCCCCTTGCATGAGTAATGGCGATGTTGTTAAACGAATGGGTTCAACAAGCGTTGAGCTAGTGGCTGGAATACGGAGATTATATCTCGACAGTGATGTGTGAGTTCATGGGAAAATGTTTACCGAGAAGTTACGGCCGGGGCGTAAAGATTCTCTGAGGTTGCAAATAGTAATTAACACGGACACGTATATAAATGAGACACACGCGGTATTAGGATATTTACTGAGGAAACATTTAGCCAATAGGGGCTTTATCAACATATTCCTCAAGAAATGCCGCAATACCGCATGTGTCTGACAGGCAAGACACTACAGTTACGGTCAGGTGAATATTTTTTGCTTATTACGATTACTCTTATATTTGACAGCGATTATGTAATATAGGCTTTATCTACTAGAATCTTTTTAATGTCATGTATCTTGTGTGAGTCTGAGGTAACTGTACTTGTACTTGCAGACGATCGTAGCGGTGTGTTTCTTCACATGGGAACAGCAACAGCAGCAACAACAGACATGGAACAATTCCACTGAAGCTATCTGGAGAGTCGATAAGCATATTGTCCTCTTCGCTGTTCCCAGCTCGACCCAGCTACAAGATGATAGTCAGGACGTTCAGGAGAATGTGTTTAGCCAGGCAGAGGGGCCAGGTATAGCTGAGGCAGCTCTTAATGTGACGAATAACGAAGGGACAACCAAGGCCAGTGAAGATATGCGCAGTGTAGTACAGGAGGCACCAGACAGCAACAGAGGTAAATGGTATCCGCAGAGAGTCTTTCTTCGTGAAATGGAATCGCCCGATAAACACCAAAGGAAAGAAAATTTTAATAATAACAATAATAAAAATATAGGGTATAAACATGAGAATAAAGAAGATTGGTCAGAGGAAGAGGAGGACCCTAACGTTGGTCGTGGATTTCAAGAAGAATTTGTTACATATCGGGCTGACAATACCTTTATCTTGATGGACAACAGTGGCACAGATCAAGTCATTGCAAACAAGACACACCAAAGTACAACCAAGCAGTACACTGCTGTAGATGTAAGCACTGGAAAACATGTAACGAATATTTTAACAAATTCGATAATGAAAAACTTAGTAAGTTTTAGTAATATAAGCGTTAACAGTTACACCAGCCAAGGTGCACTCGGCTCGTCTGAAGAAATAAACTACAAATTTAAAACTTACAACATAAACAATCCTAGTAAATTTATTTTAACTGATGACACACGAAATTACTTCCAGGATATTAAGAACAGTACCACTTGCTTCATTAGTGGCACGGATATGGAAAGATCCAAACACGCCCGAGATGGAAGGTGCTATTGCTTGAAGGGATATTTCGGAGTGGACTGCGGCATCCCAGAGGCTGCATGGTTTGGGATGTATGAAGTAAAGTTTCCAAACACATTGCTTAGACGCAGAGAAGTTCCTCGAAGAGTGATCAATGGCCTTCCTGTGAACCATGAGTTTGCTCTCTTCGAAGCCAGGATGCACGAACTACATGACGTGGTCGATGTGTTTATCATCGCTGAGTCAAACTACACCGCTCACGGGGACCCCAAGGATTTTCATTTCCTTGCCAGGTTACGGGAAGGCTACCTGAAGAACTTCCAGAATAAGATCGTGTATGTGCCCCTCGGGTTCTTCCCGTCCCAATCGAAGGAGAATGGGTGGATTGCTGATGCCTACCTGAGGTATTACCTGGGCGAGAAGGGTCTCCCGCTCCTTCATGGTCTTAAAGATGATGATCTCTTTGTGCTCTCAGACGCTGACGAGCTTCCAACTCGGGAAATTCTCACCTTCCTGAAGGTTTACGACGGTTACCCAGAACCGGTCAGTTTCGCTCTCCGGTGGAACATGTTCGGCTTCTTCTGGATGGCTCCCGTTGAATCTTCGTGGCTGAACTGGGTCAGAGGCACAGCTGAGCAACTCACCATAGTGACCTCAGTCGCTACGGTGGGCATGCTGAGGAAGGTGCTCTTCAACAATGTGTTCTACATTCGCAAAAAGAACCTATGGCAGCATCATAAGCTGGCTAAGTGGCTAAGGAAGTACCGCAGTGAGGGCCATCCCGTGAAGGACTGGGTGGCCGGCACTGTGGGACATTACGCTGGCTGGCACTGTTCCTGGTGTTTCAGGTGAGTGCCGCACTTGACACACACACACACACACACACACACATACACACACACACACACACACACACACACACACACACACACACACACACACACACACACACACACACACACAAAGCATTAAACTACAGACCAGTATCACTGACAGGTATAGTACGAAAAGTCATAGAGAAAATTATCAGGAGAAGAGTGGTGGAACACCTAGACAGGAATGAGCTTATCAGTGACAGCCAGTACAGTTTCAGGGATGGGAAATCCTGTGTTACAAACCTACTGGAGTTCTACGACAGGGTGACAGCAGTAAGACAAGAAAGAGAGGGGTGGGTAGATTGCATTTTCTTGGACTGTAGGAATGTGTTTGACACAGTTCCACACAAGAGGTTAGTGCAAAAGCTAGAGGACCAAGCAGGTATAACAATGAAGGCACTACAATGGATCAGGGAATACCTGTCAGGAAGACAACAGCGAGTCATGGTACGTGGCGAGGTGTCAGAGTGGACGACTGTGACAAGCGGGGTTCCACAGGGGGTCAGTACTAGGACCGGTGCTGTTTCTGGTATTTGTGAACCACATGATGGCAGGAATAGACTCAGAAGTGTCCCTGTTTGCAGATGACGTGAAGTTGATCAGAAGAAATCAATGGAATGAAGACCAGGCAGAACTACAAAGGGATCTGGACAGGCTGCAGGCCTGGTCCAGCAACTCGCTCCTGGAGTTCAACCCCACTAAGTGCAGAGTCATGAAGATTGGGGAAGGGGAAAGAAGACTGCAGACGGAGTATAGTGCAGGGGGCCAGAGACTACAAACCTCACTCAAGGAAAAGGATCTTGGGGGAGTAAAACACTGGGCACATCTGAGGCGCACATCAACCAAATAGCTGCTGCAGCATATGGGCGCCTAGCAAACCTAAGAACAGCATTCCGACATCTCAATAAGGAATCATTCAGGACCCTGTACACCGTGTACGTTAGGCTCATATTGGAGAATGCAGCACCAGTTTGGAACCCATACCTAGCCAAACACGTAAGGAAACTAAAGTGCGAAGGTTTGCAACAAGACTAGTCCCGGAGCTAAGAGGTATGTCCTACGAGGAAAGATTAAGGGAAATCAATCTGACGACACTGGAGTACAGGAGAGATAGTGGGAATATGATAATGGCATATAAAATACTGAGAGGAAATGACAAGGTGGATAGAGACAGGATGTTCCAGAGACGGGACACAGCAACAAGGGGACACAGTTGGAAGTTGAAGACTCAGATGAATCACAGGGATGTTAGGAAGTATTTCTTCAGTCACAGAGTTGTCAGGAAGTGGAATAGTCTGGGAAGTGATGTAGGGGAGGCAGGATCTATACATAGCTTTAAGAAGAGGTATGATAAAGCTCATGGAGCAGGAAGAGTGACCCAGTAGCGACCAGTGAAGACGCGGGGCCAGGAGCTATGAATCGACCCCCGCAACCACAACTAGGTGAGTGCACACCGTATTTTGCGGTTTATTAGACCCATTTTTTCCATAAAATGTCTCCAAAAACCGCCCTGCGTCCTATAAACTGAAGGTCAGTGACGGGAGCTGTAAGTCCGGGTCCGGGGTGTGTGGTGGGCCGTAGCTCTCCCAGTTACGTCCGATGCCAACCCATTGAAACTAAAACAAATTCAGTGTTTCAAAATTGCAAAGTATATTTATGAAATACGGATACTGTACTGGGATATTGACACAAAACGAAATTCCTCCTTAAGTAACACATTCCTTTCTTATTTCTTAAACTACCAAAGTCACAAAGCAGCGTCGTTTATGGTAGGCTAATTAAAATACTGCTACCGTATACTACGCTATCGTTAACACATTCTGGGTATTTTCAGCCACCAGCGACTGTTGCACCAGTTCAAACTGAGAGATGATCAGGGTAAGCTAGTCCTGTACCATTTGTTTATAAGAAGATAAGAACATAAAGAACACTGAAGCAGGCCTACTGGCCCATGCGAGGCAAGTCCAATTCTCCTACCGGCTTAGTCAATGCCTTAACCTAGTCAGGTCAGGTCGCGCTCACTCGAGGAAGGAGCAAGGCATCTGACCTAGCAGCACAAGCTAGTCAAGTCCAACTCACACCCACCCGCACCCCTGGCAGTGAAATATTTTGCGACTCCAAGATCAATGAGAAACGAATAGTAATAAGATTATCTCCACCGTAAATTTTTACATTTTGGGATGGTGTTAAGCTTTGATTTAACAAAGTTTGGTCAAGAAGACCAGGGGCGGTCCACTGAAGAAACCAGTTTTATTGGTGTGGGATCAGTTCAGAACTCACAAAACTGAGGCAAAAAAGAAAGGAGGTGAGGTCTGACTTCTCAACTACAACCTCTGGATGTGTCAGTTAACAAGCCCTTCAAAGGTTTAATGAGGGAAGAATAGAATAAATGGATGAAAATTCCACATGATCTTACACCAACTGGAAGAATAATAAAAAAAAAACATGTATTATACAGGCTTGCAAACTGGTGAAAACTGAATTAGAGGAAGTGAAAACTGAGACTATTGTGATATTAATGACCCCGATGGTGTGAATGTAGAGACCAACTCTGAAAGTGATCGTCGGAATGATGAAAACAGTGATTTTTCTGGTTTTGAGACA